AAATCGAATAAAAAGATCAACGATGAACTTATTATAGAACTAGAGAAAAAGCTTGAAACTGCTGAAAAACAATCAGAACTTTTAAAAGAATTACAATCGGAACTTGAACAAGCGAAAGCTCACATAAATAAACAAGAAGAGCTTATTAAAACTTTGGAATCTAAACTCCAACATGCTCAAAGTCAAAGAGATGACACGATCTCTAAACTTGAGACGGCAAATGAAGAAATTAAAAGACTCGAGGATCAATGTTCACGGCTACAAAATGAAATTAACGAAGTACGCAAAGAATCACAAAATATTAGTGCTGTTGACAATAAAATGGTAGAAGACCTTACCGACCAATTAAAGAAAATTCAAAACGAATCATCGGCTTATAAAGAACGTTCTCAAGAACTTGAAAATACAACACAACGACTTCGATCAAGTAACGATGAGTATCGTGAAATAAACAATGAACTTAATAGCCAAATTGAACGATTACAGAGAGAACTTGAAACTCTTGCAGAAGAATTTGCCGAAGCTGGTATCAAATTTGAAGATTCTGAAGCTATATTGCAAGAACAAAAGAATCGTATTACTTATTTGGAAGAAACCCTCGAAACAGTTAACAATAATCCTTCTTCTGGCCTTGCGCAATTGGCTGCCGAAAATAAGGTTTTAAGGCACACAAATGATAATTTAAACACCAAGATTTCTGAAGCGGAGAATCAAATATTATTATTGAACGAGAGGATAACAACTTTACAGCGTGAACTTGAGAACGCCAAGTCTCCGAATAAAAATGATCAAAATATAGAATCCGTCGAGACGTTAAAAGAACAAATTCATGAGCTTGAAATGGAAAAACAAGCATTGGAACAAGCGAACACGACATTTTTAGAAGATCGTAAAAAACTTGATCAAAAGATAGAATCTTTAACACAACAACTTTTATCAGCGGGTAAAAGTGGAAATAAGACCGCAGCTCAACTCGCTGATCTTAACGGAAAGATTTCAACTTTGGAAAATGAAATAGGGCAAGTGAGACAAAAATCACGAGAAGATATTTCAGTAATGGAAAAGGAAATGATGCGACTATTAGAAA